ATGTTATATGCTACAAAACTAACAAGGTTTAACCATAAATTTACTTCCATAAACTAAGCATAGGCATTACTACATATGACCATCAAGAACAACCATCATTTCCAACAACCAAAGCTGAAATTTACACTATAAAGCTGGAATTTACTATACCCATTACTAAAACCATGAAATCTACCTAACAAGCCATAACTTTCACTTGTAAACTAATAAGTAGCACAACCATGAACCAATACCATCCTTACCTAGAATTGGGGAAGCACAACAACCCCTAGGAAGCTTGAACCACCAAAACTCTCCACTCCAAGATGGCAATCCACCTTCCTAACCAACTTCTATGGATTATTTGGTGAATCTATTGGTTAGTTTGCAAGATTGAGCAAGAAATTAAGATCCCCAAAGTTGAAGCTTTTCTCTTGTTCTCTCCAAGGAGCTCACGGCCTCCCTCTCTTTTTTTTGTCTTAATGTTTGGCTTTGTTTGTTTTCCTTTCATTTACTAACAACTTAGATATTTAAGTTAAGGTCAAAGATAATTTTTCCCCACCAATCACAATTGAGCTTAGGAAAATCCTAGAAGCTCTAAGGTTCCTAATATCTTACTTTGCTAATCCTCACACTATGGCCCCAATAACATTTAATCTTTGCAATTATCTCCATAGTTCACCAACTAGTTGTTAAAAATTATCGCACGTACCACACTAGCGGGTCCCACGTTCAATATACACTACTAATGTCACATGAACTAACTTATAGCGGAAAATGTCTTGGAACTTAATTCCCTTATAATAATAGCTAGAAAATTAATATAATAAAGGAAAGTATAGAAAATGTATGCACGGAATTAAATTACGCCTAGAAAATAAGAAAAATGTCGAGTTCTCACCGTTTTTTCTTAACTCGCACGTACTAGGGTTTTCACTTATAATTCACTAACTTATTATTATTACTTCTAATCACACACTTTTTCTTATCTAAAACTCACTCTTAATCACTAAATTTAGTACACACTCTATACCGATTACTCACACTATCAAAAGACGTAAAAACCCTAGTTTACCTTAACGATGAAAGTAAAGGGAAAACCCTTGGTTCTATGATTAATTGTAACTATTGAGGAAGTGAATGAGTAGTAAAGCTCTTGTAAAATAATGGATTCCAAATAAAAGGGACTTTTTAAGAAAATATGAGGAATTTTACAAGTCCTCACAATCACACTCCCAAAATGTACACAAAAACACACACCAAAACCCTAGTATGCACAAAAACCCTAACTTATACCCTTCCTTTAGAAAAATTATAACTTGAGTTATAAAGATCAAAAATTTATATAACTTGGCTTGTTAAAAACTAGATTTCAAATACTAAGAATCTTTAGAGGACAACTCAAAGAGATTTAGTTCATAAGTTGGTCCAAATTGAGCCATAAGCTACTACAACATTTCTATGTTTACTTGTGCAGGGCAGAATTTTCAGTCAACTTTGCCAATTTTCTAGAATTTATAGACATTGAATCGAACTCTAAATTTTACACTGTACGAATCCCTCTGAGTCTAGTTTCAAATGCAACAAACGTAACTGAATTCCGACTTTCCTATACGAAGTTATAGCCAATTTCCCAAAGCTACGCAAAGCCCCCTGCGAAAATTCTAGATTTTCTAACAACTTGAGATTATGAAACTTTTCTTAACAAAATTCACTCCCTTGACTCAAATTCAACCATTAAAGCAATCAAGAATCAAAGGTAAGTGAGTTCACATAAGGATTATAAAGACAAGTAAAATTTCGGGGTCTCACAAGATCATATGAAGGATATGGTTTTATAACCAAAATTTGTGCTGTTGTGTATGTTTGGTTGTGAACTGGTGAAACTTGTGGCATTTTCATTTTTGGTATTAGTTTTATTTCTAGGTTGAGCTTTAAGTAAAGAGACCCCTTTAACCAATACAACCACTTTCCTAATGTATAAATAGATAATATATTTTGATATTTTAATCAATATGAAGTTACAAAATAGTGGAATTAATATTAATTTACTGTAGGAGAAGGACGATGAGTAATGGATCCAAGGAGCTAGGATCAGTTGTGGCTTCATGAAAAACTTCTTCTTCTATAGTAGTGGATGGTTGTGTACCCTTCATTGGAGTTCTATGCCTCGAGTCTAAGATTTTGTGACTAATTCTTACTTAGTTTCCTTTTCCTTTTTCTTTTCGATTAAGTGTATTTGTTCCTTGTACAAAGTCAGTGTCTTGAACTGACTCAGTCTAATTAGCTTGAATGTTAGGAGTTGGTTTTTCCAAAACAAATGTAGTTTCAGCCTCTGGTTCTATTTCAGTTTCCTGATCATCATCTTCCTCACCGCTGTCAAAAGTAATTCCCACTTGTTCTTTGAAAATTAGATATTTGGAGTGCTCAGAGTAGGTCATACCAAGTAGCATTCCATGCTCCAAACACTTTTGTCTAAGTGACATTTTTTTGAACTTTTGGTTCAGGGAAATATTTTGTTTTTCAACAGACACAAGTTTGGAGAGGATGTTGTGCAGAGTGGTTGCAAGGGAGATTGGAATGTCAATGAAGGTTTGAGAAGAAGCTGATTTGAAAGTTGGTTGTTTCCCAGCAACAAGGACATCATCCTTTGGCTTTTCCAATTCATAATTCTCTTTCAAAAACCATTTTTCTTTGTAAATCTTGAGACCTTTTCTTTCCAATCTTTCTTGACTAGTAAAAGGAGGAAATGTTTTTGCACTAGTAATAGGCATAGTAAAGTGTTTAAAAATTTTTGTCAGGAACTTTGCAAATGGAATGCTCCTTCTAGTGTCAGTTTCCATAACCAATTAGAAATTACAAAAGAGATACCCAAAATCAAGTTTAATGCCTTTGAGAATAGAGTAAAACATATACAATTGCATCCTGTTTGAAGTAGTTCAGTGACTCTGTGTCGGATAAAGCAAATTTGTGACAAGAGTGTAAAAAATCTGATTTCAGGTGTTAAATAGGTAGTTCTAGTATCATTAGCCATTGAAAAATCACTCTTTAATAGAGTGTGAATTTCATCAATTTTAAAGCCATGAGATTCATTTAGCCAAGAATCAAAAGCAAAGAAGTATGAAAACTCCGCTAGTTTTTCAACAACACATTCAAAGATTTTGTTGACTAAGAAAGAATCACTGACCTGGGAAAACTTCGGTAACCGGCAACTCCTTTCACCCGAAGTTGCTGCTGCACAAAAAAAAATGAATAACACAGCAAGTAGATTTCGAAAGCAAAGAGGGTCCTAGATACTTTTATTGAATTGGAAGCTCAAACCAAAAAAGAAAAAAAAAAACCAGAGCTTTGCCTACGATAACTTGCAGAATACAGTAAACCTAGCCTACATTCAAAAATTTTGATTAACAACTTCTTGAGCTTCTAGAGTTTCTTGAACCTTGAAGACTTGAGACTTGCGTTTCTTGAACAACCTGAAATACCCTCGAGCATTTGTAAAGGGTCGCCAAGGAGCTCTTGAAGTTTTCTTGGGAGATTCTTGGGTCACCCGAAGAGGAGGAGCCCATGGAGGAACCTGATTATCACCTTGGGTTTGCGACATCATCTGAGTTGTTCTTGCTTCTTGTGAGTTGAGCAGCCAGCAAGAGTCAAATTTAATTCATCCAACATCCCAGCCTTTGTGCACTTCTAGAGCACTTGGGAAGAGGAACCCATTCGGCTGCACGTCTAGAAAAGAAAAGGGGGAACAGCTGCTTCCAAGAACTCTAAACCCAACTGGTTTCCTAAGTCAAAGGGGTTTCCAAAACCAGACCGAGGGGTTTCGAACTGTCCTTGTGCCCAATTTTTGTACCCGTGCATTTCCCTAGAGTTATCCTAGGTAATAGCAGCACCTCTGCAAAATCCAACCAGCACTTTGAGTCGGTTAGGACAGGGGTAAACATTCCAAGAAAATCCAGCAAAGCAAAAGAAACCAACTTCCTTGTCGATTAGAGCCTTTGAGTGTCATTCTTAATTTTGTGTAGCTTTTGTGTCAAGTCTTTTTCCAATTTTTATTCTTGAATATATTCTACCACTCCATTCTTAGTGTCCTAATTTTGTTTACCAAGAAAATTTCTACTCTTACGAACCTCAAATTCTTGCGTCAACTTGATTTTTGAGCTAAATTTGAGCACTTGAGGGATTCTAATTTCTTTCAGGTTTGCAAGGGGCTGTGAGAAAATCTTTGGTGAGCTCACTAGACTGATTTGAGTGACCATACATGAGTGTGAGAGTATACACTTTGGGAATGAAGTAAAAAAAAAAAAGGGTTCTTTTTCCTTTGCCCTTTTCTTTGCTACTAATCCTTGCAGGTACACTCGAGACTCCATGTCTAGTGGAAACGAAGGAGTATCCCGCCCCATGGACTTTGAAAAGATGATAGAGCAAACGGAAAGGCGTTCCCAACGCATGCTAGAACCAATTCAAGATGAATTGCTGCAACTCCGGGTGTCTGGAACACCAAGAACTTCTAAGTCCACGCGAAGGCGAAGGGACGTGGAGGAGTCCGACGGTTCCAATCATGATGATGATGACAAGGAACCTCGTTTTCGACCAAGGCAAAGGAACCAAACTGGACCTACCGATATATTCAAGGGGATCAAAATGAAAATCCCTGAATTCAAAGGACGGTCCGATCCCGAGACCTTTCTCGAATGGTTGTCCAAGATCGAAATGGTCTTTTTTTGCCAAAACTACACCGAAGTGCAAAAGGTGCAGTTGGCAACCATGGAATTCACTAAGTATGCTGTGGTTTGGTGGGACCAAATCAAGAAGTCTAGAAGGAGAAGTGGGCTCCCCGAGCTCATTCCATCGCCCGAGTTTCTATTCATGATGCGCACCCGCTTTGTACCTGGATATTATATTAGGGATTTGTACCACCGATTACAAACCTTAGTCCAGGGCAACCGGAGTGTGGATGAGTATCATAAGGAGATGTAGATCCTGATGCTTAGAGCGGATGTACAAGAGATTCTGAAGCCACCATGGCGAGATTCTTAAACGGATTAAGACCCGATATTGCTGAACGAGTGGAACTTCAACACTATATAGAGTTGCATGAGCTTGTTGACAAGGCCATTAAGGTCGAGCAAAGGCTCAAGAGGAGGGGTACTACTCGATCGAATTTTGGCAATACCACCTACTCTACCAACCACCCATTCGAACCACGAAAAGATTCTCGGCTTTCGCCAAATGCTCCTACACCAAAGCCGAGATTCGAGGGAGGTAAGGTGGGCAATTCTAGTGTTGGTAAACCACCTTTTTCTACTCCAAAATTTGAGGAGCCTAGGGTACAAACTAGAGCTCGTGATACTCGATGCTTCAAATGCCAAGGTAGAGGCCATATTGCTAGTCAATGTCCCAATCAAAGGACTATGATTATGATAAAAAATGGCGAGATCCTGAGTGAGGACGAAGCCGAGTACGAAGGCATGCCACCCCTTGAAGGAGGTAGTGATGGTGAGTCACCAAATAAAGAGAGTTTAGTGCACCCGAGGGTCACTTTGGGACCGCCTTGGTTGCAAGGAGGGCATTAACTACACGTGTTAAGGAGGAAGAGTTTCAACAGGAGAAAATCTTCTACACCAGGTGCTTCGTCAACCAAACATTTTGTAGTGTGATTATTGATAGTGGGAGCTGCACAAATGTAGCTAGTTCACTCATGGTGGACAACTTGAAGCTGCCTACAAGAGATCACCCGCAACCCTACAAACTCCAATGGCTCAACAACTCTGGGGAGGTTCGAATAACCAAACAGGTTCTTATATCCTTCCAAATTCATAAATATTCTGATGATGTGTTATGTGATATAGTTCCTATACAGGCTAGTCACATTATACTAGGTAGGCCGTGGCAATTTGACAGGCAGGTAACTTTTGATGGTGTGGCTAACAAGTATAGTTTCTTGTGCAATAGTAAGAAAGTCACCCTAACTCCCATTTTCCCAAAGTAAGTGCATGAAGACCAATTGAAATTGCAACAGAAGTATGAGAAGTATTGTACAAAAAAGAAAGAAAATGTAAGCGTCGAGGCAAAAGGAGAGAGAAAAAAGGCTATCGATAGCTCAGCAAGTGAGGTAAAATCCGAGAGAAAACGAATGCTCCTGATAAAAGCCAAAAAAGTGAGAAAGTTAATGAGAGATGAACAGTCACTTCTTATGCTTGTTAGCAAAGAAGTAGCTCTGAATGTGCATGAACTTGATACTGACATACCTCTTGAGGTTAAGTCTCTTTTACAAGAGTATGCTGATGTCTTCCCCGAGGACATGCCAAGTGGATTGCCACCACTTAGAGGCATTGAGTATCAAATTGATTTCATCCCTGGAGCATCATTGCCAAATCGTCCAACTTACAAGAGCAACCCGGAGGAGACTAAGGAGTTGCAAAGGCAAGTGGATGAGTTGCTTGGTAAAGGATGGACACATGAGAGTTTAAACCCGTGTGCTATTCCAATCATTCTGGTGCCCAAGAAAGATGGTACGTGGAGAATGTGCACCGATTATAGAGTTGTAAATGCCATTACAGTAAAGTATCGCCACCCTATATCTCGCTTAGATGATATGTTTGATGAGTTACATGGGGCTGTGTTCTTTACCAAAATTGATCTCAAAAGTGGGTACCATCAAATTAGGATTAAAAAGGGGGATTAATAGAAAACTGTCTTCAAAACCAAGTATGGATTGTATGAGTCGTTAGTGATGCCTTTTGGGCTAACTAATGCACCTAATACCTTCATGAGGTTAATGAATCATGTTCTGCATCCATTCTTAGGAAAATTTGTGGTAGTTTACTTTAACGATATCCTAATTTATAGCAAGTTTTATGATGAACACCTAGAGCATATTAGAGCCGTTATGGATGTACTTCGAAGAGAGAAACTCTATATCAATCTCAAGAAGTGCAATTTTTGCACTAACGAGCTTGTGTTCCTAGGGTTTGTTATAAGTGCGCAGGGAACGAAGGTGGATGATCAAAAGGTCAAAGCTATTCAAGAGTGGCCAACACCAAGGTCTGTAGGCGATGTTCGAAACTTTCATGGCTTCGCGGGTTTCTATAGGAGATTCGTGAGGGACTTTAGCACCATTGTTGCACCCTTGATCGAGTTGTTCAAGAAGAATGAAAACTTCGATTGGGGAGATTCTCAAGAATAGACTTTTCACGCTTTAAAGCACAAACTCACACATGCACCTATACTTACTTTACCTAATTTTTTTAAGACATTTGAAATTGATTATGATTTTTCAGGTATTGGATTTGGAGCTATGTTGAACCAAGGGGAGAGGCCTATTGCCTATTTTAGTGAGAAACTCAATGGGGCTGCACTGAACTACTCCACTTATGATAAAGAGTTGTATGCCCTCATTCGAGCACTACAAGTGTGGCAGCACTACTTAAGACCTAAGGAATTCGTGATACACACTGATCATGAATCTCTTAAGTACCTTAAGGCCCAGCACAACTTGAGCAAGAAGCATGCAAGGTGGATTGCATTCGTGGAGTCATTCCCGTACGTGATTAAATACAAGGCTGGTAAGTCTAATGTGGTTGCGGATGCACTCTCACGAAGGTACTCTCTAATCACTTCGTTAGATGCTAAGTTGTTAGGATTTGAGCTAATTAAAGAGCTCTATGCACAAGATAGTGATTTCGGTGAGCTAACATTTCTTACAAACACACCGGGCAAGGTAAGTTATTCATTTCTAATGGTTACTTGTTTTGTGCCAATCAACTTTGCATCCCACATGGCTCAATCCATGAGCTTTTGGTCAGGGAATCCCATTCGGGTGGCCTTATAGGGCACTTTGGGGTTGATAAGACTCTTACCATGCTGCAGGAACACTTCTATTGGCCGCACATGAGGAGAGATATTGCACGGGTGGTAGAGTGATGCTTAGCTTGTAAGAAAACTAAATCCAAGGTACATCTGTACGGCCTTTACACCCCGTTATCTATTTCTAGTGCACCATGGGTCGATATTTCTATGGATTTTATACTTGATTTGCCTAGATCCAAGTATGGCCACGACTCCATCTATGTGGTAGTCGATAGATTCTCTAAGATGGCACACTTCATTGCTTGTCATAAAACGGATGATGCATCTCACATTGCCAACTTGTTCTTTAAAGAGATTGTGCAATTGCATGGCATACCTAGGACCATTGTATCTGATAGAGATGTCAAATTCTTGACCTACTTTTGGAAGACACTATGGTCTAAGTTAGGCACCAAATTACTTTTTTCTACTGCTAGTCACCCTCATATTGATGGTCAAACTAAGGTAGTGAATCGTACATTAGGTACCTTGTTGCGTGCCATCATCAAAAAGCACTTGAAATCCTGGGAAGAGTGTTTAGTCATGTTGAGTTTGCTTATAATAGAGCTGTCCATTCCACTACTGGTTTCTCTCAATTTGAATGTGTTTATGATTTTAATCCGCTAACACCTCTAGATCTAGTGCCATTACCTAGTAATGAGCGCGCACACTTGGATGGTAAGAAACATGTAGATTTTGTTAAGCAATTTCATGAGAAAGTCAGGGCCAACATTGAGAGAAGAACTGCACAATTTGTCAAGCAAGCTAACAAAGGTCGCCAAAAGCTGACTTTTGAACCTGGCAATTGGGTGTGGTTGCACATGCGCAAGGAATGTTTTCCTGTTCAAAGAAGAAACAAATTACAACCACGGGGTGATGGACCTTTTCAAGTATTGGAGCGCATCAATGACAACGCCTACAAACTTGATCTTCCGGGTGAGTATGGAGTTAGTGCTACATTTAATGTTTCTGACTTAGCTCCTTTTGATGCAGATGACGCTTTTGATTTGAGGGCAAATCCTTCTCAAGAGGAGGGGAATGATAACATCATGGTACGTGGGCACGCCAACAATGGCTCGAGTGATCGAGGGGCTGAGGATCGCGTGCAAGCTCCAAGCGGATCCATTACTAGGGCTCGCGCAAAGAGACCTCGTGAGCAACTCAATGTACTTATTCAGGCCATACACAAGTCCTTTGAAGGATTCATACACTCAAGTGAAAGTGGTCGCGGTCCGGTATTAAGCATTGAAACTACACCTGAGGATTAGGGTTTTGCCAAACCCTAGTTTCCATTTTAGCATCATAGTCATTTATTTCCACATTAGTTTGATTAGCTTGAATAATTGGCTAAATGCATGTTGCACATAGAATCGCCAAAGGTAGGATTGTTATTTTTGTTCATCATTATATGTTAAGGTGGGCTGCCTAGGAAGGAAGGCCCGCATGAGGCCCTAACTGTCGATGGTTGAGCCTGCAGTTTCCGTTTCCGTTTTCGTCACTTATTAGGGCCATACCAGCCGCACCTTTAGTTCCTTTTCTTACTAGATTAGGTTTTACTTGTAACCTATATAAGGCACCACATTACATCAATAAATAGGTAGACACTTTTATCATAAAAGAAGTGAGATAATTTTCTCTATAGCTTTCGAGCATCCCTTGAACAACTTAGAGTTATACTCTAGTGTTCTTGTTGGCTTATCAATTCAAGAATCACACTTGAGTTGTGGCGCCTTCTACACTTGCCTGAGGTTCGCTAATTCATTTGATTATGGGTAGAGATAATATCAACAAGTTCGTAACCACGGGGATTAGAGGGGTCGTAGGGTTTCCGCTGCTACCTTCCTTGGACGTCAATCACAAATCCACCAAGCGATCTTGGGGCGTGAATCTTCTCCCCAACGAGATTCGTATCAAAATCAATTAAGCAACAAGTCATGCGAGTGGTACATTCACCAGTTCTAGCAAAGATAATTTCAAAAGTTTCCTCTCAAAGTATGTCTTTGATCATCGACACGTCCTAAGAATAACCATGATAAAACAATTATGGTTCCCACATCCACAAACCCAGTAAACGGAATGCACAAATGAGCCTCGACTACGAGTCGCATGCCTATCCATGTTAATTACTAGTGCAAGGATACAAAAATGTGACTTTGGAGTGAAAAGGTAGCGGTTGGTCCTAAAGATATGAACAACCCCAAAATCCTTCATTTCTACCAAAATTAATCCAAACTCAAAGAAACCAAACGGCCTAAACAATTGGACAACACCTCCCCTTGATTTCTCTACTTTTCCACCCTAACATCAACGCCCAATCACATCTCATTTCAGCCACAATTGCACATACAAATCATAAGCTATTAAACATTCTTAATTAGGGCCACAATACTCTTCATATATAGCCAATTGGTAGCTCCGAAAACCAACCACAATCAAGCCAAAATTGGAAACCAATCTGAAATTTATGCACCCAAGTTGGAAATTTCTTTAGGCAAGTTAAACTAGTCTACAAAACCTCAATAATTCATATAGCAAAGCTATCAAAACATGGACAGCCCTTAAGCATCACATATGAGCAGAATTTTCACCATAAAAATGAAAATTACCATAATACTACTTCAAACCATGAAATTTTCTCATAAAGTTACCAAAACTATAACCCTAAGCCACTAATTCACACATATATGAACGAAAAGGAAGTTTCTAGCCAATGTACCTTGTAACCTCAAGAAAGATAGAAATTTAGGGTTTTTTCCTCCAAAATCGCTCCACCAACACCTCTACTCTTCCTTGGTTAGCACTTTGTATGGAGTAGTTTGCAAATTGGTTGGTTAAAACTCAAGATTCAAGCACAAAGTTGAGGTTGCAGTTGAAGGTCTCTTTTGTTTTTTCCCTCTCCAAGTTCGGCCAAAGCAAGTGCAAAGTGAAGAAATTTTTGGTCAAATTTTGTATTTAGTAAAAGTATGAAGGTCTTGGTCAAAGTCCAACATCCATTGACTTCGCGACAAATGGTGCACTAGGATTTAATCTCATCCTTTTGTCTTCCAATGGTTAATCTATCTAACTAACCTCTAATTATCTCCTAACACATTGTAAAATAATATCCCTTTATACTAAACTTCAACTAATCGTCAAAATTTTATCGTACTAATCGTACTAGAGGGTCCCACGTCCGTAATACGCTTCAAACTTAACATGAACTAACTTAAACCAAGAAAATGATTTAAAATTATACTCACTTATAAAAATATCTGAAAAATTAATATAATAAAGTAAAGTAAAAAAAATGCATATGGAAAAAAAATAAAATAATAAAAAATAAGGAAATTTTGCGGGTCCTCACATTCTCTCCCCTTTAAAGAAATTTCATTCTCGAAATTTTCTTACCTTGATTAACAAATAGTTCAGCAGGTATCATCCGATATGGAGTTTTCGAGAGAAGTGATATCTCCGGTAACAAATTAATCTTAAATTCTATCTCCCTATCCAAATCGTAATTCTTATACACCATACTAGTGATCAAATGGTGTTTACCCGTAGGAGTATTAATTTCTAGATCATATGGTAATCTAACGGTTCCACTTCAAGTCCATACATAAAATTGGGGTTGACAAAAGGAATGGGTAGCACCAGGGTCTATCAAAATCTTAGTGAAACAGTGGAATACGGGAATTGTACTTTCTACGACCTCAAACGAGTCAGGGACCTAATGTTCCTCTAGAGAATACACCCGAGCCGGCACTTTCGGTCCAGTCCCTTCCCCCTTCGACTGTCCAGGGTTGGTCTTGGTTGACTGTCGGTTCACACTCCCTTCTCGAGGTAGGACTGGGCAATTAGCGATTTGATGATCTGCACTCCCACAACGTAGGTATTTCCTCTCTTTCTTCCAGCAAATATCCTCCGTGTTATTCGGCTTCCCACAATACCCACAAGGAGCACGGGAAGCAAGGCCGAGCCTCCCTGTGAGACACCTCTTGACATCTCCGGAAGTCTTACTCCTCCAGTTCCCCTTCCAAACTTAGGAGGTGTACTCTTATCCCCTTACACTAAGCTACTTTCAAGAATAGCTCTTTTATTCGCTTGGAAGTTTCTAACTTGTAATCTCGCACTCTCAACTCGTTGGGCTTTCTCCACAGCATCACTAAAGGTGTTGATTTGGGCTACCGCTAGATCCTTTTGAATCTCTACATTCAGCCCCTGAACAAATCGTCGTATCCTCCTTTGCTCAGTCACAATTAGTTTAGGAGCAAACTTAGATAATTTAGTGAATTGGCTCTCATATTCCACTACAGTTTGAGCTCCCTGACGAAAGTTAATAAACTCATCCTCCTTTTTCTCCTGAATTAGAGGTGAAAAATACTTTGCATTGAACTCCCTCATGAAGTTTATCCATGTCCTCGGTGTTTGTTCTCTTTCCCATTTCAATCTTATCACATTCCACCAAGAATGGGTTGTTCCCTCCAATTGAAAGACAGCAAAGGTCACTTGTCTCTCCTCAGTATAATGTAACGCAGCAAAAATATTGATCATCTTCTTCAACTACCTTTCAATCACGTCAGGGTCTAGTCCTCCAAGGAATTTTGGTGGGGAGAACTTCTGAAATTGTTCGAGAGCTCTATCCTCACCCTCTACATGGTTACCAGGGTTTCCAGGTTGATTCACAAGGTTTTGGCCCTGACGTTCCACTACATGAGGCAAGAGATCAGTCATACGCTGGATAGTGGTGGCTACCTGGCATTAGGATCCATTCCAGGTTCAAGATTCGGTTCAGGCACTGGTTCACGATTACTCTCTTCGGTCAAGGGTTGCCTAGATCCGCGCCCACGTCCGCATCCACTACGTCTACCCTCAATTCGTTTTTACTCAATCTAAGATCGAAGTGCGAATGCAATATTAAAGTGGTATATATATAGAGGCATAGACAATTCACAAGAAATGTAAACAAGTCAAAAGTCAAATATGTTACACGACTTTAGCATATATACCACAAAGTAACAGTCAGATACGAACAAAAGTAATTCCATTAAAAGTAACGGGATCATAACAAAAGCACAATATACAAAACTATGTCCAAA